CTGGAGGTGAGGCCTTGTTTTTTTCTTTGCTTCTCAATCTTGTATTTGCATTTGTCTGGCGTATTAGACCCTTGTTATGATGAAAATTTGGGGTGTTTGTTTGCGTAAAAAAAGTGTACACTTTGTGTAGCAATGGTGATTTTAGTCTTAACAGACCATACACACATACACAATCACATACACACACACACTCTACTACAATTGACACACTGCCACATTTAATCAGTGTTCAAACCAGCCCTCACACCCTCGTTCTGGCACTACGTGTGTGTTCAGTCATCCATCTGTCTGTGTATTCATCCACCTGTGCTTGAATGTGTGAATCTATGAATGTTGCACCATTGCTTAGTCTTTCTGGACTGCGGCAGTCTTCTTCAGATTAGAAATATTCAGATAAATTGACTCTAAGCTAATCAGCAGACCTCTTAATTATCCAGAGCAGAGCTGCACTTAACTGTCAAAGAGGTACTCTTCAGCCAGAGAGGTGTCTTGGGTGCCAGGCTTAGAAAATAAGGCTTGCCACTATTGCACTGTTGTAAAAACCTGGCCATGACAGCTCATTTTTCTTCAGAGCTGTTGGGGTTTCGTTTTGGGGGGGTTTTTTTGGTAATTTTTTTATACAGCCTTTCGTTACTTAATCAGCATTTGGCAATTAAACATTACACTGGCTAATGCCAAAGCTTCTCAGCTCGATAAGCAGAATTTCTTTATTTTTTTTGGTCAATTTTATCATGTGTGGTTAAAGTGATTAGAAAAATAAAAGAGTTGGCATATTCGTTTGTAGCCAAAACCAAGGAAGCAGGATAATGGAAGATTAACAGAATGAAAGTTAGAGGAAACAACAAAAAAATCCAGCTGGAAATTGGAAATCAGCTAATCCCTAACACACATGCTTCAACAATTCTTCCAGCTTTTTTTATTTTTATTAATGTGATTCTGATAGTCACTCTGAGCGCAACCTTTCCCCATCACCACATTACCCCACTGGACTCACTTGTCACTCACTTGGGTGTAAGTGTGTTTTGTCATTCAAGAGTTGTGAAGGTCAGCCTAACCTTCCATCTCTCAGCTTGGGCTCCATTATTAGGACTTGTCCTTTCAACATGAGCTAAATGGCCTGCCGCTTTTCTTTTTCTTTTTTATCCCTTTTCCCCATAATTCTATCTCTCTCCTCTCGTCCCCTCTTTCACTCTCTCATTGTCTGTGGCAGCTTGGTGGCTCTAGCGTCTGGCTGCAGTTGCAGAGCAGCAGCAGAAGCAGCAGTCACATACCTGCATTCAAGTGGAACAAACAGGATGGTTGGCTGCTCACGGAAGGTCATCAGCCCTGGGCACAGTGTGTGCACGCTTGTGTGTTTGTGTGCATATATTTCTAATTTTTTTTTTTTTTTATAGCTTTAAAAAGTGACAGAGCTCTTTCTTCTTTCTGATGATGTACTCAAATGATGCGGAATAAATTTTCGTCTTGCTGTAATCACACTGATCACTCGTGTCTTTTATCCGTATTGGTCACAAATAATAAATATGTTAATATATGACCTTCTGCCCTCATTCAATCATGCAGCAACAAAGGGAAAAACAGGGATCTGATGTTTTCTTTTAGCATAAATCTGCTTCCGAAGTGGACACCAGGATCAGAGGTGTAAAGATCAAAACTAGAGACACAGTTAATTAACTCAGGGTTGCGATTTTTTATTTTATTTTTTATTTTTTTTGGCTTTTTCTTTCTTTGAGGATATCCTAAATAAAACATGTTTTTGTTCTAATAGTTTATAACTTTGAACCTTTGCGCCTTCTCATTGTGCTCTCTGTCCAGTCCCCCCGTAACTTGCTATCAGCCTAAAACTGCCGCAGTGACATCTGCCAGGCTAATGAATGGTGACACTCTAATCTTTGTCTTCCCTAATTGGTGCTGCAGGTTTGATCAAAAGCCAAGTCATGCTAGCTCAGTTGCAATATGGTAATCATGTTTATTACTAGACGCTGTGTATTCCAGCATTTGTAAGTGTGCACATAAAGTCTGCATATCTAAAATAGCTATGCTATCCTAATATTGGTTAATCTTGGGGGATTTGTTTTCAGCCCTAAGTGACCTTAATCGACCTCTACCCCCAGAATTTCTACCTGTCTACATTCTTTCTGTCTTATTTCCTTTCTCGCAAAGCTGCAAAGCTGTAAGCTATGCACAATTAACTGTGTGGTGCTTCAAAACTGTTATTTGGTGCCAGGCTGCGAATACATCAATTCTGCAGTCAAGTTGGGCAGTTTAACTCTGGGGGCATTCGTAGAGCTGCAGTTTTGGCACTTGCATGTTCCATTTTTCAGGCCCTTTACTATTTGCTCAACAAAACCATCAATTGCCCCAGCCTTAAAATATGCCTTCAGACGATAAAGAAACCATGTGCCCCCCACAGTATGATGGTGCGAACAGATTTAGGTCCCCTCAGCTTGAATAATACCTGGGCCATATCAATGAGGTACAGGATCATCTTAGCGTGCAGAGGAGCACATTTTATACTAAAGCCTCAGGTGTGATTACCACGTGCATCTTGGCAGATGAGCCAAGACAGAGTGGAAAAAGTGACAACAGTAAAACCAGCTAATCTAATTAGCTGAAAGATACCGTGCACTGAAATAATTAGCCAGAATCTAATTGGCTGATATCAGTGTGCTGTTAAAAATCTGCCCGCCTCATTTTCTTCTTTTTCAGTAACCTTTAAAAGTAAACAGTTCCCAAATAGCCTGCAGAAATGTGCAGTAACAAGCAGTCGGGCTACAGCTATACAAGAAGTTGGAGCAGTATGAAGCTCAGCTGTACTTGTTGACTTTTGAGATCCCCACGTAACCTCTCCTCCTGTTTCACAATGATTCATCAACAGGGAGCTGATTAGCTCGCTTTCATCCTAACAGTCTTGTGTTTATGCATGTCTTTAATGCTATTACTGTACCTGAAGCTGTATACAGACATGCTGCTATTCGCTTTAGCCGCCTACGCTTTCTGGTGCATCCCCTTCTTTATGTAAACACACATACACGCGCGGGCTTGCTGACATCCATGCAGTTTGATATGTGGCCCAAGGCAAAGCACTTCTCTCTAATGAGCCTCCTGCCCTCCGTTTCTCCTGGGGAGCCGAAAGAGGACTAACCTTGATGCAGCTTAGAAAGGATGTAACCTGCTTACACGCATCCTCATAAATTGCTGTGCTCGTGAAGGAACCTAATTGACAACATTCTTTACCGGGGGAGTGATATTATCGCAGACATTACATGGCTAATCTTAACTTGATCCTCGGTCCACCTTTAATCCTTAACCCTAAAACAGGGCTGGGCAACTCCAGGCCTCGAGGGCCGGTGTCCCTGCAGGTTTTAGATGTGTCCTTGAACCAACACAGCTGATTTAAATGGCTAAATGAGCTCCTCAACGGCTGTATCCCAATTCAGGGTCTGCAGCCTTAAAGTACGCAGCATTAACGGTCCACACGGGCCCGCGTACTCAAAGACCACTAAGGCCGGAAGTGAGAGGCTTGTGAAATGGGATGGTCTAGCCTCCGTCGGAAATGTTTCATACAGCTTTGTTTGACAGAAATGAAGGACAAAATCTTTTGTTCATTTGTTTGTTTGTTTCTACATGAGCTTTGATTTGATATGTATCTGAGGCTGAGACCACGGGACTGTGAAATCATGATTATTGGGCTTCACTTCTGTATTGAACAGTCATTTAAGATTAGCTAGTAAATAACAATTAGCTAATGTTGTTCATGAGACTAAAGTCATCTCACTTTGGTAATGTAAAT